GGGGGGGGGAAAGCCACAATGGCTGTGCAGGAAGTGAGGGGGAAACACAATGGCTGGGCAGGAACTGGGTGTGTGCAGAAGGCAGGAGCTGCCTCAGGCCAGAGGGGCTGGGTGTCCCCATGCCCACCTGCCCTGAGCTGCCTCGACAAAGCCACTGTCCCTGGCAGCCCCAGCCCCCCCAGACAGCGTCTTACCCAAGTGGGCAGCTCCACACGGTAGTTGAGATCCCCGAGCCAGAAGAGGTGGGTGAAGCGGTGCGTGATGTTAAAGGGACTCAGCTTCTTGTCCCCCAGGGCCAGGAACCGGAGGATGTTCATGTAGTTCTGGTTCCTCCTATGTCCAGGAAGAACCACCATTCAGCATGCGGTCAACGCTCCCACCCACCGCCGAGGGACTTCAGAGGGCCCAGAACCAAGACACAGACCTCCAGCCCTGCCACAGCGAATATTCGGCAGCTCAGGCCACCTGGAGGCTAAAGGACTTTGACCTGGAAGGTGTCCTAGGTGTGGTCTCTTTGGAAATGTCGTTAGGTCCACGACACAGATGTCTATTCTGACCTTCAGATAAGATTCATTCACAATGAGGCTGCAGTTGACTCTAATGAGACCATGAGAGCCCTTAAAAGCCACCAGGACACCCAAAGGCCCTAGGTGAGGACTGGGTGGTCGTTCTGTGTCTAGACAGGTGAGGTCTGTCTGGGACAGGTGAGGTCTGTCCAGGACGAGTGAAGTCTGTCTGGGACAGGTGAGATCTGTCCGGGGCAGGTGCAGTCTGTCTGGGACAGGTGCAGTCTGTCTGGGACAAGTGAGGTCTGTCTAGCACAGGTGAGCTCTGTCCGGGACAGGTGAGGTCTGTCTGGGCAGGTGAGGTCTGTCTAGCACAGGTTGGGACAGGTGAGATCTGTCCGGGGCAGGTGCAGTCTGTCTGGGACAGGTGCAGTCTGTCTGGGACAAGTGAGGTCTGTCTAGCACAGGTGAGCTCTGTCCGGGACAGGTGAGGTCTGTCTGGGCAGGTGAGGTCTGTCTGGCACAGGTGAGGTCTGTCTGGACAGGTGAGGTCTGTCTGGCACAGGTGAGGTCTGTCCGGGACAGGGTGAGGTCTGTCCGGGACAGGGTGAGGTTTGTTTGGACAGGTGAGGTCAGTCTGGACAGGTGAGGTCAGTCTGGACAGGTGAGGTCTGTCTGGCACAGGTGAGGTCTGTCTGGACAGGTGAGGTCTGTCCGGGACAGGGTGAGGTCTGTCTGGCACAGGTGAGGTCTGTCTGGGCAGGTGAGCCTGAGCCACACTCAGGCTCTGGGGACATGAGTGCCTTACCTGAGTTTCTTTTCACTTCCAGAGGTCAGGTGGCTGTTAACAAACCCCAGGGAGGTGCCATTGAACATGAAGGAGACCCCCACAGCTCCCTTGTTCCCTGAAGGGAGGAGAGAGAAAGAAGAATCAAAATGGCAAGCAGGTGACCTTGACAAGGGCTGAGAAACCGAGGTAAGGCCAAGGAGAGAGGGGTCGAGGGGGCAGCTGCCAAGGGAGAAAGCAAAGCAGGTGGTCTGGATGCAGGGTGCGGGACGCGAGGGGTGACAGGCACAGTGAAGGGTGACAGGCACGGCGAGGGGAGGATGGCCGGGCATCTCAGCATGGCAGAGGGGGAGACCATAAGAGTAACCCTGTCCCCAGTTCTCTCCGTCTCTGTCTCTCTCAGGAGCTGTCAGTAAGCCACACGGTGCCCAGTGAGGGGCCACCAAGCATGATCAGAGCCTTGGGAGGGAGCTCACCCAGGGCTCCTGGGGACCAGCCCCATGGAGGTAACAGCTTTTGCTGCTTCCATTGGGTCAAGCCCAGTGATTCTCAAAGTGTGTTCCCTGGACCAGCTCCTGCGTCCCTGAGGAACTTGCTGGACGGCACATTCTCAGGGCCCCCAGATCTGTTGATTCAGAAGTTGTAGGCGAGGCCTAGGGATCTGTGTCTGACAAGGGTGGGCAAACGCTGATCTGCCACCAGCCAAACTACCTTTACATTAAAAAAAAAAAATTACTTTGTTAATTATTATTATTATTTTTTTTGAGAGATTTTCACTGTAGGGCGTGTGCGCTCGCCAGACAGACAGAGAGAGACATAGAGACAGAAAGCGAGAAATCACTCCCCAGGGGGGATGGTCACGCCGCAATCCCTTCTCCTCCATTCTCCTCTCGGGATCTTGGGCACGCACGCACACGCGCCCGGCGTGAGTTTTAAGCCACCGGGTCCGGGACACGAACCGTGGTCGACTACGTGGGAGTCTAGCGACATAGCCATTACGCTAACTGCTGGTTCCCAATTATTATTACTTTTAATTTGACCAGAGAGAGAGGAGGGAAAGTGAGAGAGCAAGTCACCAGGTCTAGGACTTGAACCATTGCCATGTGGGAGTCCTGCACCTCAACCACCAGTTTTTACATTTTTTACATTTTTAAATGGTTGGGGAGAAAAACTGAAAGTAAAATAATCTTTTGTGACACATTTAAATCTGAAAGTCAAATTTCAGTGTTCCTAAATAATGTGACCTGGTTCACGCAGGTGCCATTCTGGGGCTTTCTGCCTTCAGTGACAGAGAGGAGTGATCGGGCCAGGCACTGCGTTAATGGTGATCTGACGAGTTACAGGCAGTGTCTCTGGCTGCGGGCGAAGTCTGGCCCCGCTCTGTCCAGTGCTGCAGCCCGAATGGCATGTAGCTATCGCACACCTGCCCTGCGGCGGGTCCAGGACAAGGGGCTGCAACCTCGGTGAGAGAAACAGCCTGTGGCATAGCCAATGCTCTCTCTGCACCGATTCCTACCGAAATGATAGCATTCTGGACTATGAGGGTTACAAAGTCAATTATTAGGGGTGATTCCACTGGATCCATTTCACCCTGAATGCGGCTAGTAGAAAACGTAAAGTGACCCACTCTGCTCCCCTCTGACTGGCTGGGTGGTTCCAGGTGGGCCATAAGCTGAAGGGACCTCGGAGAACATCGGGTTCAGGATGACCCTCGGGACTCGGAGGAGCCCTGTCTGGACAGCGCGTTGATTGGAGCAGGCCAGGGCAGACCAGGAGGGCCAGCAGCCATCCTGCCTTCCAGCCCTCACTCTCCCCATAGGGTGCGGCCGGGAGCTCTGCTCCTCCCCTCTGACCCCACCAGGCCTCTTTCTGGCTTTCTCTCCTCCCGGCCTGGGCTTGAACAGCTGGCTCTAACCTGTGTTTAAATCCCTGCCCACCACTTCCTATCCCTGGGCCTCAGGCACCTTATGGAACAACTCCATGGCCTCATTTCTTTATCAGTGAATGGGGACAGCAACGGCTCCTGGCCTCACAGGGCGTTCGCATGAAGCGGGATGACACTCGGGCAGCACTTGGTGCACAGCCTGGCAGAGGGCACATCTCGGGGAGGCCTAACTGCTCTAGGGCTGCCCATCAGCCCACCACCATCCACTGAGCTCCTAGACTGTGCTAACAGCTGGGAACCATTCAGGAGGAGTCAGGAGGGCTGGCTCGGGGGAGAGGGGGCAGGTGTGTGGACGCCTTGGCGTCTAAGCTGCCCTCTGAGGGCTGGGAGCTCTGACCCTATCCTGACCCTGTCCCTCACTAACCTGGCTTCGATCATCCTCTAGGGTGACACCCAGCATGTGAGGCCCCAGGGCCTTTGGCTATTCCTGCAGTGTCGAAGGCTTCTTTCCACACAGGCCCTCCTCTCCGTCGACCTCAGTCCCATCACCCTGACCTCCCGTCTCTGGCTCAGCCGTCCTGCCCTCCCCTGCACACGCCTTCACCAGTGCACTCATCCGGGAGGCCTCTCCCTGTTGCTCACGTGCATGTGTGCCTGGGTCCTGGTGAGCAGGGCCGTGTGCTCGGTAGCTCCCAGGGCTGAGCCCTGAGCCCAGCACACTCTTGCTCTGAGAAGGGTTTCATTTCCTAACAGGAGGCCTGAGCGCATCACTGGCTGTGCGCAGGAGTGCGGGGAGAGGCGAGGGGCTCCAGGAGAGAAGGGACGCGGACTCAGGGTGGTGCTGGACTCAGATCAGGGCCGCACTAGGCCCAGCTTCCACTGTGGCAGGAAGGAGGCAGGGGTGGTGGGTGTGACCCGGGCAGTCTGCGGTTTGTCAGCAGAAAAGCTGAGTGCCCTTTCAGCTCTTCTATTTCCTGTTTTCTCTGGGACTCTGTCCTGTCCACGACTCCAACCCAGAAGCTGCTGGCTCTCCCCTGACCACCCCGGCCCCAAGTGTGGTCCTCCCGACACCACCAACACACGCACATGCACTATGGCAAGCACACACCCGAGTGCGTGCTCGCTCGTCCGTGTGTCCGGGAGTCCTGAAGTGTCCTGAGCAGGTCCACTCCCTCGCAGTGACACCGATGTCCCAGATCTGACCTGGGAGAGCAGTGATGCCAACCAGGGGTTGCCCCTGCAGCCGGGGGCAATTCCTGCCTGCGCTTGCCCATGGTCTTCCTGACCCGCTGCCGTGCCCTCACTTCCGCGTGGCCCATGGCTGCCCTCGTGCTGCCAAGGTCGGGACGAACACCTACCTCTGGCAGTCAGCCTGGAGTAACCGCTCTGTCTGTTTCCCGGGGAAGTTTTTCGACCTCTGTCCCTATTCTGGGTTCTTGCTACTCTAAGTGGGTGCAGTGGTGACACCCCCTGGGAGCAACTCAGAAGCTTGGGCTCCCCCTGACACCTACTGAGTCAGAACTGCATTTTAGCCAGAGCTCCAGAAACGCTGGTGTAGTCCCTGATTGAGGTTTGGCTCGGGGGACTAGGCATCCCAGTTTACCCGAGACTGAGGGGACCCCTGGATGCGAGACTCTCAGCGTTGAACCCAGGGAGGTCCTGGCCAGCTGGGAGGCGGCGGAGCGTGCTCTGAAAAGGACGGGCCCCCGGCTCACCCAGCGTGTTGGCGATGCCCGTCTTCACGTTATCCGTGCAGATGTGGCTAATCCGGTTCTCATGCTCCGGCTTGGCAAGCACCACGATGCGGATGTTCCAGAGGGTATGGATGGCCACCTATTAGGGGGACAGTGTTACAACACTCGGCCAGGGTGCACCTTGCCCCTGGGTGTGATCCCTAATTTACGGAACACCCCTAACCACACCTGGCTGGTGACACAAAGCATCTTACGGGTGAGAACCAGGGCTGCCGGGTGTTCAGGCAGGGATGATCTCTTACAGGCGGGGAGGGGGGAATGGAGACTCAACGGCCTTTAGCAATACCCCAGGGCCCCCAGGTGCATCTCTCTCTGGTCCAGAAGTAGGGGGACTGCTGAGCCCCAGACATCTTTGGAAGCCGAGAGTGATGGGCTGAGCAGCCTAGCTCTGAGATCTTACAGACGGGCAAAGCCCGTCAGTGGTCCCGTCCTGTCCCACCCAGGGTCCGCCCAGCTGCTCACTGTTTTGAAAGTCATGCTGGTGATTTCTTGCAGGGAGTGTCGGAGGATCTCCAGCCACTCCTTCTCCCCCAGGGGGTCCTCCTGGGTGCCGATCACGTAGATGTCGTGAGGGATGTAGTCGGCAGAGTCGTCCCGCGTCTTTCCCTGCCCCTTGGAGAGAAACCAGGACGTGATCTTCTTGGGAGGGGGGGCGTTACCTTCAACAGCAAAACCCAACACCAAGTGAGTCAAAGGCACATCGAGGCAACGGCATCAGGAGAATTCAAAACAGAGAACGGGGTAGCTGGGGGAGGTCGCCCGGTCCACAGGGTCGTTCCGGCAGCCCAAGAGCCAGAGCTGCCCGGCTGTCGCTTAGGGGCAGAGCTCAGTTAAGATGAGGTCGCGCTTCAAAGCTAGGAACGCCAGAAGATGCGCTTTCCTCACCAACTGAGCAAGACATTGAACTTCATCCTAGCCTGGGCGGGGGCAGCAAGGCGCCCCGCTCCTCAGGAAAGCCACACTCTGTCGCTCAGAGTCAAGGGAGCTGAGTTGAGGGTGGAGGCCTCTCACCCGTCGCTGGGGACAACGAACGCTTCCTTGCAAATGAGAGCTCTCAGCCAGCTGAGCCGTGCAGGCGTGGGCCAGAGAAACCCCATCTGTGCCCACTTTGGAAAACAAGAGAAGTGGCCGAACAGGGGATGATGCAAGGCCAGCTTCTCGCGATGCCCTTGACCCAATGGCAACTTTTCTTTTCCCCCAAAGAGGTAAGTTCCTTGGCTCGCGAGCACCAAGATGTCAAGAACTGGAGTCACGTGACTGCCCCGGATCTATTCCCACAGCAGGCATGTGAGCACCGGGGAAGCTGGCGGGCCCCTACTCGCAGACCCCCTCCGACCCCGCGCATGGGCAGCAGGGTCCAGCCAGCGCCTCCCGCGTGTCTTCTACGGAAAGAACACCCCCTGCCATTGTGCAATGGGACAGCCCTGACTTTCCGGGCCAGAGCACCCGCTCACAAAGGAAGTCACAGAAAGGCCGAGCGCCCAAGGTTATGAACCCCCGAGGGTGTAAACCCCCAAGGGTGTGAGCTGAAGAAGTCAGGTGGCCAAGAAGAGACACTGAGAGGGGCAGAGGAAGACACAGCCCCAAAGGCACTGGACAGGCCCTCCTATGGTGTTGCTGTGGCCTTGGGACATCTGGGCCTGGGTTGGCATGGAGGTGTGACGGCTCAGGGAGGGCTGATACCTTGCAGAACTAGGGTCAGGGCCCAGCAGAGGACGCTGAGACACGGCGTCTGCTGCCTCCCCCTGGAAGCCCCGGAAGCCCAGTCTGCCCTCCTCCGGTGGCACACAGTCTCAGGCCGCCACTTCACTTCCAAGGGACCCCTGCCCCTCCCAGAAAGGCTGCTGCTCACCCCTTCCTTCCCAGGTTGCTGGGCAACTGACAGGGTCCTATGTTGGGAGTCAGGGCAGCCCTGACTCTACTCGGAACACAGGGGAGGGGACACAGGCCACCCTGTTAAATTCAAATACACGGGCAGTTTTTGGAATGCATATGCCTCCTGCAATAGCCATTTATTGGAAATTCAGATTTAACTGGATATCTTCTATCCATTTATTTAACTCTAGTTGAATACTTAGACTAAAAAATTATTTAGCATAATTGATTTAGTATATTACATACATAGTATACAATATGTTAGTATATAAATTAGAGTAATCGTGTATCCACCACACATATATTTAGTGTATCTTTTTTTTTTTTGCTTGTTTGTTTTGGAGAGGTTTTTGCTATAGGGCACGTGCGCTCACCAGAAAGACAGAGAGAGACAGAGAGACAGAAAGTGAGAAATCACCCCCCAGAGGGGATGGCCATGCTGCAATCCCTTCTCCTCTATTCTCCTCTTGGGATCTTGGGCATACATGCACATGCGCCTGGTGTGTTTAAGCCACGAGGTCTGGGACTTGAACCGTGGTCAACTAAGTGGGAGTCCAGCAACATAGCCATTACGCCAACTGCTGGTCCCGTATCTTTTTTTTTTTTTTAACTGAATACATGCACTAAATAACTATTTAATGCAATTTGTATTTCATATATGTTTATGTATTTAGTATATAAAATTTGGTAGCCTATACAAATATAGACATATTAGTAACACCCAGGGGCCCTAACAATTTCTGAATCTGGTCCCCAAGTACATCTCTGGTCTTGGAAGTACAGGGACCACTGAGCCCCCAGGCATCTTAGTAAATGCAGTATATATTTAACAGATATGTTTCTTGGTTATTTCTAGCTAGACACTAAATATTATTTGTTTCTTATATGAAATTCAAATTTAACTGGGCATTTTCTATTTGCCTGTCTAGCTCTCTCCCTGTTCCCGTCTCCTGATAAACCTGCAAGGCTGCCCAGGGTGGGCTTTTTTCTTCCAGGCCCGGGGCTCCTTGGCAAGCTGCCTAAGGCTAGCAGGGTGTCCCTGAGCCCTTTCATCCAGATGTTGATCGACTCCTTAAAACTTTACAATTCAGACAGGGGAAGCAATGGTCCAGGAAAAGGGCAGAATACCTTAGGGAGACCATGAGGACAGGCTGTGGCCAGGCAGGGAGGAAGGAGACACGTGGTCTCCATCCCCACTGGGGGGTGCCCGAGGCGGGCGAGCAGAGGAAGGGTGCAGGGGGCAGTGGACCCACCCATGTTCCAGGTGCCGATGAAGATGGTGATCATGTCGGGTTCCGGCTGCTCCGAGTGCTTGTTCTTCATCTGCTGCAGCAGCTGACAGAAGCCTTCTCTCTTCTAGGGGAAGGACACAGACTCAGAACCACGGCCCTGCACACTGCACTCCGCAGGGGACCTGCTCAGCTTCAGGAAACTGACAGGAGGTAAATCAGTACAAATTTCCAGGACACAACTCAGAAACGAACGGCCAGTCATCAACACGCAGCTTCTCTGACGCAGCTGCCTCCCTGCACGGATGGGACTCAGAGAACATCAGGGTCTGCAGAAGACCCAGCCCAATGTCCATCCCTGGGGGATGCATTGCTCACTGTGCTACAGATCACCTCCAAGGTCGAATTCCACAGGGTTAAACATCATGGAGCAGACATCCTTGCTCAACAAGGAGACGACCACCACACACCAAGGATGAAAGGCTAGTTGTCACAAAAATGGTCTGAAAGGCGTTACTGCATTTGTTTTTAAAAAGCATCAGGAAGTGGGTCAGCAGGTGGCATGGTGGTTAAGGGCACTGGGCTCTCGTGTGGTTGACCACGGTTCGAGTCCCAGAACTGGTGGCTTGCTTTCTCGCTTTCTCTTTCTCTTTGTCCCTCTCTGATCAAATTAAAATAAACAAATAAATGAAGTTAAGCAAAGTAATTGTTTAAGAAAGAAAAGCATCAGTAAGGGTAGAGTTCAAGATTAATTGGTGGTCTGTGAGTGTTTTTATTTTAAACTTTTGCTTATTTATATTTGCTCCTTTTCCATCCGTGCGAATAGAGTGCTTATGGAATGAAAGAAATCTTACATGAAAGAAACCACATAAAAGAGCACAGGGCGGCTGTCAGAACCTCCTTAACCTCTGCACTTACCTTTCCTGGGTACTCATTGCCTTGCAATCAACAGGACAGGCTTTTTTTTTTTTTTTTTTTTTTTAATCGCCAGAGGGCACATGCGCTTGCCAGAGATGGCAGGTGGGGGAAGCACCCCCCAATGGGGCATGCTGCAATTTCTTCTCTATTTCTCCATCCTGTTAGGATCTGGAGCATGCACATGTGCACATGCACCCAGCATGTCTTTCAAACCATTGGGCCCGGGAATCGAATTGTAGTCACCCATGTAAGATGCAGCTCTCTCGATTACTAGGCTCTGGGGTGGGCCGGGCAGGCTGACGTAAGCCACAGTATGCATGGTTTTAGACTGTACTATATGAAATGGACAATGCCGAGCTCTTTCAAACCTACAAAGACGGATTCCACCTAGTAACTGCACAGCTCAGCAAGTCCGCTCTGGAGAAACAGCTCACGAAGACGTAACGATGGCTTCTCGAAACCTGCCTTTAGTTGGGGCTGGTTCAGGATTCGGTGCCTCAGTTTATTGCTGTGTCTCAACCCTCTAAGCTTGTAGCAATGGGCAGAACTGGTTTCAGACCTATGCCCACGTGTGCAGAACGCTGCCCTGCTCCCCCTGCCCTCACCACCTGTCCGGCTCCCACTCCCTGGTTCTGCCAGCCCCTTCGCCAGCCTACCTCTGCCACTTGTTCCAGTACTCACCCCCAGGGCAAGCAGAAGTAGGGCTGGGACCCTGACAGCGGCTGTCTCTGCATGGGAGCCCTGTCCCTCAGCCTTGCCTATGGTGCCCGATGTTGGCATCGGCCAGCTCCTGATGTGGTGGGCACCCGCTCTGTGACCCAGTCTCACTTCCTCGTGGTACCATACAGCCAAGATCAGCAGTAAGGCTGCGCTGCGTCTCAGCCCTCTGGCTGGACTTTCCAGATCAGGGACTTGGTCACAGGGCACCCTGGCTCTAGCCGTACAGAGGCTTCCCCGGGTTTCCCTACTGGCCCCTGCAGCTCTTACTCTGGGAGCCAGGCCTAGGGGGGCATCTTGTCCTGCAGGCTGGGGCAAGCCACAACAGACGTCTTCAGGAGAGTCACTGGCTGGGACTGAGATTCAAATCCACGGGTGTTCAGAGGGCATCCGTGTCCCACCAGAGAAGTTAAAGGCCTCCCAGCCAGGCTCGGGGTGGGGAAGGGCACACCCTGCGGGCTGGGAGGCAACTGGGCAGTCAGCCAGAGCTACAGCTGCCCAGGGCCCAGGACCTGGAACAGCTCCCTATCCCTATCCTCACTGGGCTCGGTGTTCCCGGAGTGGGGGGGGAGGGGGAAGGGGCGGTCGAGAATTAAAGAGCTAACGATGTGTGCTCCCGGCACATCGCGAGGCTCAGAAACATGGGTCCCTCACTTTCTCTTGGCCCCTCTTGGAAGGTTGTCATCACTTACTTTGGAGTCAGCAAAAACATATTCCTTCCGCAAAATCTTCTCCTTCTCTGTTTCCACCAAAATTACCAGCTTGTTGGGGAACTTCTGTGACTTGATGAGCTGCAGGACTTAAGAAGGACAGAAGCTGACGTATTCATTCATCCCTCATTCAACCAATGCGTGCTCTGCGCCACGTTCCAGGCACCCAAGCGTGAATTCCCCTAACCTTCCCGTCCCCGGCTGAGCCCCAGATTTGCATTGGCCCTCCCAGACCCCTCTTCTCCTGGCTGCTCTTTCCCAGAGGGGCTCCATGGTTGGGGGGTGGTGCCCAGAGCAAGCACAAGGTGGCCCAAGGAGAGAGCCATAATTGCCTTTTCAGCGTCCTCCCTCCCGGCCTTCTTCCTTCCCTTTACTCCCCTCCACCCCCCGCCTTCGCTCTGTTTCTCTTTCTCCTTTCCTTCTCGTTATGCTTTTAGTATACATACAAAGTTAACTCAAAATTCCGACTTTTTTTTTTTTTGAGAGGTAGTGCATGTGTGCTCGCCACAAAGACAGAGAGAGACAGAGAGACAGAAAGCGAGAAATCACCCCCCAGCAGCACAATTTCTTCTCTTCCATTCTCCTCTTGGGATCTTGGGCACATAGGCACACGTGCCCGGCATGAGTTTAAGCTACCAGGTCCCGGACTTGAACCATGGTCAACTACATGGGAGTCCAGCGACATAGCCATTATACCAACTGCTGGTCCCTGACTTATTTTTTTCAAAAATTAAGAATCAATGGTTCTAGAAGATTTTTGCAACCCTCCCCTGTGCCCATTCCAGTTCCTTCCGTTGTCTTGCCCCTTAGAGGCAACCAGTTTCAACACTCTCCATGGGTTCTTTTAGAGTTTTATTCCGTGTTTCTGAGAAACATGCTTCGGTTGCTACTTCCTCCTGCCTGCGTTTTAGCTGTTTTCCTATTACACACTGACTTTCCACTATGGAAGATAAAAGGCTCAGCTCTCTTTGACATAACGCGATCTGCCCCCTCTCTCGCCCTGACTGCTTAATTTCAGCACGCCTTTCTTTCTTGGTTTATGCCCTTATTTCAGTAGAGCAATATTGCTAGTAATTCTCCCAGAAAAGGAAACCAAGTGGTGTTTTTGGAGGCTCCTATGTCTGAAAATTCTTCTCTCACACTTACCTGACAGAATTCTAAATTTGAAAGAATTGTCCTAGGACTCCAGAGACTTGTGCCCACCTCTGTTTTGTAGCACAGCTGTTAGAGATGCCGTTTGGATTCCCCTGTGTGTGCATCGGAGGCATTGCCTGCAGGCCTGGCCCCGGGCAGGGCCTGCTTCACGACAGCCCTTAGCTGGTGTCTGGGAACGGGGGTTTGGGGAGGCTTCTCACCATTGCCTGACTCTGAGAGAGGCTTGCTGTGCCCACCCTGTCTGCGAACATACGGTTTGTGCTGAGCGCGTTTTCCTTCTGGGAGTCTGAAATCTGAGTACTGCCTCAGTGGTTCTCAGTACTCTGCGTATGCTCAGTGGCCAGGCAGAGGGTACCCGCGTGACCAGCCTCCAATCAAAACCCCTCAGCCTCAAGTCCCTAATGAGCATTCCTGGTGGATCTTTCACATGCCTTGTCACAGCTCGCTGGGGGGAGCTAGGTGTGTGCTGTGGGACTCCACAGGGCACTCAGGGGCTCACGCTGGGCCTCCTCCAGGCTTCGCCTCCTCCGCCTCCCCTTGTCTGATTGGCCTTGTATCTCTCAGTTTAAATCCTGGCGGAGTCCTGGGAGTTCCAGCAAATAGCTGAGCCTGGGGTGGTCTTGGAGCCCTGACAGAGTCTATCATCCACATGCGTCCCTGGAAGTTCTGGGGGTCTCGTCTTTTTTTTTTTTTTGGAGAGGTTTTCGCTATAGGGCGCGTGCGCTCGCCAGACAGACAGAGAGAGACAGAGAGACAGAAAGCGAGAAATCACCCCCAAGGGGGGATGGTCACGCCTCAATCCCTTCTCCTCCATTCTCCTCCCGGGATCTTGGGCACGCACGCACACGCGCCCGGCGGGTCCGGGCCGCGATCCGCGGTTGACTACGTGGGAGTCCAGCGACGCAGCCATTATGCTAACTGCTGGTTCCCTGGGGGTCTCGTCTTTGAACCCAGTGTTGTGAGGCTTCCAGTCCTGTGTCTCTCTCTCTCTTTTTTGGTGCTGAGCACTTGGGCCATTTCCAGCCTGGAACCCCACGTTGCTCAGTTCTGAAACTTCTTCCTGGGTTCTTATTTGAACAACGTTTAAGCTCTGTTTCTGTTTTCCCTTACTGACACTTATTTGGGCACTCGGCTTCCTGGGATGCCCTTCTAATTGCTGCAATCTCACCTCTCTCATTTTCCCATCATTTTGTCCTTTTGTTCTACCATCCGGGAGCTTTCCTCAATTTTATCTTTCCACATTTCCATTGGGTTTTCATGGTTTTGAATTTGCTGCTAGGTCATAGGGCTGGCCCCGTAGTCTCATGGTTAAGGGAACCGGGTTCCACAGGGCTGCCTGCAGTTCCCCAGCAGCTTGGAAAACATGCCGGGCACGTGTGCGGGTGCTCAGAATCCCAGCAGAATGACGGCGGAGGAGGGAGGCGGCAGCATGACCACGTCCTGTCGGAGGGTGCTCTTTCCCCTTTCTCTCTATCTCACGTGCCTTCTGGCAATGCAATTTTTTTTCTGCTCTAATATTTTTTAATTTCCCTGGCGCTGTCCTTCCCTTCCTTTCCCCTTCTTCCCCTCTCTCTCCTGGTCATCATCCTTCATGATTTTGCTGTTGGGCTGTTCCTTTTCGGGTAGCACTCTGTTCTTACTTCACGGTCCAACCTCTTTTTATCTACAGAATTGGTTTCCTCCAGGTGGTTGGTCTTTTCGGTGATTTCTGCCTCGGTGTCCCATGTCCCCTATTCCTGACTCCACTCGGCACCTGACCTTCTTGGCCACCTGCGTTCTAACAGCTACTATGGGGTCTGTTGAGCAGGGATATTCCCCTGGCTGGTCTCATGGACTGATTCACAGGGAACTGCTTGATGGCAACATCTTCGGGCCTTTGCCCCGGGCTGGTCAAGGTCCCCAGCGAAGACTTCTGACCTGCAGCCTGGAGGAGTGGCCTAGCTGGCAGCATCCGGGCAGCTGGGCAGGGAGGAGGGCACGGAAAGAACCTGTACTCAGTCCTCTTTCCGGAAGCTTTGCTGCCCGCACCATGCTCCGAGCCCTGAGTCTTGCCTTCTCCTGAGAATCCAGACCCAACCTCTGCTCAGTGATGGGGAGCCGCTGGCTGTGCAAGGCTGAGGGCCCAGACCTGCATTTACAGTCCCACCTCGCCCCACTCCGAGGGGCCCAGGCGCCGTCAGTTCCTGAGCTCTTGTGGGTTCTGTGGCGTGCGCCGGGGGTCTGGACTTGCCCTACCATGCGGAGAGCGGAGTGTCCTTTCGTTCCTGCAAGGGGGCCATCGTTAGCCCTCTGTCAGCGCCCTCCTGCTGCTCTCCCTCCTCTCCCTCTCTCTCCCTGTGCGTCTGCCCTGGGAGGGAGCTGACGACAGTGCACATTCAACTGCC